GGCAGATGTGGATGTTGTTGTTGTTATTATTATTATTATTATTATGGATCATTGCACAGTCAGCCAGATGTTCAGACTGGATTTGGCATTTTTGTCTACCTATCGAGTCCTTACCAAGGACTGGGACAGGCAGATGTGGATGTTTGATGGTATTACAGATATTATTGCAAGATGGAAGCAGTTCCTAGTAAGGCCGCCTTTTGCAATTGACTAATGGCGAATTTGTCAATGCCGATGATGGTGTTCAAGTGGTGCTCCAGTTGTTTTGGGATTGCACCCAAGGTGCCTATTACTATTGGTACTACCCTTGCTTGCCTTTGCCACAATCTTTCTATTTCTATTTGTAGGTCTTTGTATTTTGTTATCTTTTCCAGTTCTTTCTCATCTATTCTGCTGTCTCCAGGCACATCCACTATCCAGACTTTTTTGTCTTTCTTATCAACAATTGTTAAGTCCGGGGTGTTATGTTGCAGGTGCTTGTCTGTTTGAATTATTATTACTACTACTACTACTACTACTACTACTACTACTACTACTACTACTATTATTAACATCAGTCCAATCATCAAGAAGTACACAATACTTCAATCAAGGAATTGCCAAACAAGCTCAGAGCGAACAGCCCAACTAAAGAACCACCAAAATCATTCTCACCAGTACTGACAAAACAAGCTATAGAATGTAAACTGAGAGCAAACCCCACTCCCTGCCATAATGCCACGGATGACATTACCTAGTTTGGTTAGCGAAATGTCTTCAAGAAAACAACCAAGTTCAGAGAGCACCAAAGACCTCTCCAAGAGTCGAATCACCAATCTCTTATTTTGTCTACAGGCATCAGATTAGAGACAGTAGGAAAATAAAAGCAAAAGCTATCAAAGTTTTATAGCTGACTCTAAATACTGTATGCAGTACACTTTGGGAACGTTAATAATTGCTACTGACCAATAGGAGGCACTACACATCTGGCTACCAATTTATTGGCATTCATCGGGCACAGAGGTGCAAGCCCCACAAGGATTTGAACTCAAGGCCCTTTGCACTTAGCATAACTGTGAGATTTGTTATAACTACATAAACCCACCCTAACGGGGCAGTTCTTAACACATCTGCTAGGAGGCCCAGCCACATAAAAGGCCCAGTAGCTCACTACATGTAGCCCCTGTAAAAACCTACATTTTGTATCCAACAGGGATTTATAAGTACATAGTCCTCGATTTATGACCACAATTGAGCCCAAAATTTCTGTGGCTCAGTAAGACGGTTGTTAAGTGAGTTTTGTCCCATGTTATGACCTTTCTTGCCACAGTTGTTAAATGAATCAGGCTTTCCCGTTGACTTTGTTTGTCAGAAGGTCACAAAGGGTGATCACATGACCAGGGGATACTATAATCGTCATAAATATGAGTCAGTTGCCGAGCGTCCAAATTTTGGTCACGTGACCATGGAGATGCTACAACAGTCATAAGGGTGAAATACAGTCATAAATCATATTTTTCAGGGCTATTGCAACTTCAAACAGCCACTAACTGAACTGTTGTAAGTCAAGGACTACCTGTATTCTATAAAATTATTCCTACCCCTAATGTTATATTTAAAATATTTAAGTTAGGTAATGAAAAAAAAAATAAAAGAACTTACAAGTTCAGGAAATTAGGCTTCTTTTAATGTACAGTACTGTACTGCATTTTAAGGATATATGTCAGCACGTAAACAGCTGTTTGGGAAAACTATGTACCATCAGAGAGACGTGCAGCAGAGAGACAGAATTAGCTGGGGGAGGGGATATAGTTAATATGGGATGCCAAACCAGGATTTATTTAATGCATTTTGGAAAAGAGCCCATGGTATGCTGCTTTGGGAATTTAACTCTTTATTAGGTTAACAAGGCTTGGAGGAAGGCAAGGTGAAGCTACCTAATCAGTTGTAGATGAGAAAAGATTAGGAAGGCAGCAAAATAAAATAATTAGTGTTGTCAGAGGCTGAGTCAGTTCTTCTCCTGGCCACTCCTTAAATACTTCCTTATGAGGGTGGAGAAGTTGCACTGCTTGTTTCTTAACACAACTGAAGGCATAATTTCCGGAAATGATGGTCACTTCAAAAGCAAAGCCATATTCTACACGTGTCAATTAAGGTATCCTTGCGACTTCAGTATGGCTTACATGTATACTGACACTTAAACTGCCCCAAAACATATAAACGTTAAAGTCTGTAATTTAAATAATGACCTTGAAGATACTCTAGACTAGTCAGACTCAGTTCCTAAATGACTGCATTTATGCAGTTTTCTGGGCAGTGTTACAAAAGCAATTTGTCACTGTTTCTCCCCTTCAAAAATATATATTTCTGCCTACTCTACAGTTCTAGGATTTCCCAGTTAAGTCAAAATGTACCATCCAACTATTAATGGGGGCTGACCTTGTTTAACTTTCAAGATCAGCCAAGGCTGGCTTAGTGCTGCTATCTTCTGAGAGAATAATGACCTTGCTATATATTTTTATTTATTTTATTTTTCATGTTTCTGAACTACCCAGCTCCCTAAAAGAGGGACTTTTTGATATTTAATAGAACAGGGTTTACCTAAAGGCAATGTTTCTCAACCTCAGCAACTTTAATTTGTGTGGACTTTTAATTCCCAGAATTCCCCAGCCTGCTCAACATTGCCAAGGTTGAAAAACACTGCCTTAAAATTGCTATTTTCCAAGCGTATCATCTATTTTAATTTTATTAATTGTATTTTTTAAAAAAAAATTCTGAAAGGAACAGCATGAATGATAGTTTCAACTTTCCCAACCAACATTTTGGAAAAGAAAACCTTGATCGAAAGAACTTTCACAGAACAACATGGATGCTCTACAAGTCTCCATGCCTTTTGTTTTCAGTTAGTAACCCACTATTCATTTGACACCCCAAAAGAGTAATCATTTATACATTATTCATCCATATAAATTTCTTTCCCTCTTGATAAAAAAATGGCTATAAATTGGCTTCTTAGACCAATGCCGCCCAGAGTTGATAGTGAGATGGACAACCTATAAATTTAATAAATAAATATGCAAAAAAATTGGCAGCATCAGAGGCTTGTCTTGTGCAGAAGTGCATTATAGGTCATTGATAATGTATATTTCAATTAAACATGTAACTTTTAGCCTCTTTGTGCTACTATAAATTATAAGCTTCTTAGGATTATTCCCCCCCCCCCATGCAAAATGTCACAAAATTCAAACAATGAATATTTCCTCCGCACCCCTCTCTTTCTAAAACAAAAAGATAATTTATCCACAGCAACTACTTCAGGAGTTGAAAGAAAGTAACTGCTGTTTATTTGCTTATACACATTGACAAAATGTTTCTAATAGTTTAGTCCCAACAGCCAAAGACTCAAAATATTTTGAAAAGAAATTGCACCTTATTATGTCATGGCAGATAACCAATGTTCCCTTACTATTTCTCCCCAAAAATATACTTTATTTATTTATTTTAAAGGACTTCTACAACTGTCCATCTTACACATCTGACTCTGGACATCTTACACTATTAAAAACAATAAAAACATAATAATAATGACCTCCAAGGTCCCTTCTAGTTCTATTCTGATTTATATAGAAAAAAAAATAAAATAAAGAGAACAGCTGGAAAAAAGATCTTAAAGCTACATTCTGACATTCAACATAGCTGAGCAATGGGTTTCATCCCATATGTGGGAACCCAGGCTTGCTTAAAGAGCCACGAGTTCAGGGCCTTATGGAAGCCCAACAAGGATGGAGCCAATGTGATCTCTAGAGAGAACATTCCAGAGGGTAGATGCCATGGCAGAAAAGACTGTCCTTCTGGGTCTTGACAGTCACACTCCTTAGCTGACAGAACACAGAGCACACTCATCCTGCCCGAATGGATGAGATGGGTAGATGCAAGCACTGTCCAATCTCTTCTTCAAAACCTCCAGCGATGGAGCACCCACAACTTCTGGAGGCAATTAATTGTTCTAACTGTCAGGAAATTTCTCCTTAGTTCTACTTTATTGTAAAGCTATGTTGATAGAATCATTGTGGTCGGTTCCATTAGATCTAGGTTGGCTCTCAAGGAGAGAACCAACCTAGATCTAAGGTAGTGGTTCTCAACCTTTTTAATGCCGCGACCCCCAACCGGTCGTAAGTCGAGAACTACTCAACCGATCGTAAGTCGAGGACTACTCAACTGGTGCAGCACCGTTTGCAGAATGGGACTTTTGGCGGGCTCAGCAGGGCAGAGACAGCCTGGACAATTCCTATTGGCTTTTGAAAGCCAATAGAATTAGACTCTATTCAAGAGAGTCTATTCTATTGGCTTTCAAAAGCCAATATAATAAAAGGGAGTAGCACAGCTAAGGAAAAGGGGAAAAAATGGCGGACTGCGTTGTTTGGCGACCCCTGTGAAATGGTCGTTTGACCCCAAATGGAGTCCCGACCCACAGGTTGAGAACCACTGATCTAAGGGAACCAACCAGCAAGATTCTGTCAGCGTAGCTTTAACAATGAAGCAGAATTAGCTGATCTGGTTGTGATTCCTATCTGGTTCTCAACCTAGAGCTATGAGAAAGACCTTGGGACACTAGGACAAGAGGCACAGGGAGGGGAATGGTCAGATAAGAGACAGCGTAGCCTACAGCTATGGGAGGGGCAAGAGGCTCAGAAGGGGCCTTACCTAGTTTCTAAATCTCAATTCCCCTTTGTAATGGTGTGTAGGAATGGTCTTGGAAGACAAAGCGAAGAGATACAGCCAATGGAATAATCAGATAAGAGATAGCATAGCTGTCATCTCTTACAGTAGCCTAGAGATGGATAACTGGCAGGGGAAGAGGCCTAGTTTCTTGGGCTGTAAAGGAGATGTGGGGGGGGGGAGAGGAGAGAATTGTATTTCAGATTTACAATAAAGTAGAATTGGCCCATGGGGTTGTGATTCCTATCAGGTTTAGAAAGGCTGATACACGCAATTAGAGTTATGGCTAGAAAGTTACTAACCTTAACACAGAGATTGGTGAGTCTTCCACCTTTTTTTTACAGGAAGGAACACAGGAGATTCTTCTTGGGTACCTATCAAAAGCAAAAACAAAAACAATGCCCTAATTATCTATAATTTCACACATAGCAACATCCATTTGGTGTAGCCCCAGGAAAAGTAAACACAAACTTTGTTGATCTCTACTTAGGGGTGATAATTCTCCAAAGTATTTAGGCAGCAAAATGGAATGATTTGCTTCTGCTTTTTTTTTTTTTTTTATGGGACATTTTACAGCTGCCTACACCGGGGCAACTGCTTGGAGATTTTCTAAAGAGCGTGTATCCAAATACTAGGCAGGTTCATATAATATTTTGGGTGTCTGTATGGTAGTACATAAACTTTGAGATGTATACAGAATATATGCAGAATACACAGAGATGCATCTTCATGTATACTTTTTCTCAATCCAACCCATCTCACAGAGCTCTGGCTGTTATTGTGAGGAAAACAAGACAGGTGTATTTGGCATGTTCACCACCTTGATTTATATATAAAAAGGCAGGATAATAATCATCTCCCTCTCCCCACTTTTCTGGATTGGAGTAGCATAGAACCCCTAGTAAATAAATTTAAGATGTGCATATGCACCCAGAGAAATACAGTATGTGTATTTTTATTTATTTATTACATTTATATGCAGGGTCCTTCGTGTTCTCTGAGCTTGGTTATTTTCTTACTGATGTTTCATTACTCAAACTAGGTAACATCATCAGTAGTAGATTGTTTATATTGTATATAAGCAGAGTAAACCTCACTCCTTTCTAGTATTGATGATGTTGGTTAATGAAACGTCTACAAGAAAACAACCAAGCTCAGAAAGCATCACAGACCCCTCATTTCAACCTTGAACTACAAATATTCTGCTTTATTGGTACATTTATATGCCTCCAACTCCCAGTAACTCCATGCTGTTATTTATTATTTGTCTGATTGATTGATTTACTAGCACTATGCTGCCACATATTTATCTATCTGTTTGCTCGTTCATTCATTTACTTACTTACTAGCACTTCTATGCTGCTGCAGTCCAGTGGGAGAATCCATAACTATATCTCTATGTATGTGTGTATGTACAACATATTTATGTATTTATTTGTTTGTTTGTTCATTCATTTACTTACTTACTAGCACTTCTATGCTGCTGCAATCCAGTGGGAGATATCCATAACTAAATGTATGTGTGTATTTATTTATCTATTTGTTTGTTCATTCATTTACTTACTAGCACTTCTATGCTGCTGCAGTCCAGTGGGAGATATCCATAACTAAATCCCTATCTCTATGTATGTGTGTATTTATTTATCTATTTGTTTGTTTGTTCATTCATTTACTTACTAGCACTTCTATGCTGCTGCAGTCCAGTGGGAGATATCCATAACTATATCCCTATCTATATGTATGTGTGTATATACAACATATGTGTGTGTGTATATACACATATGTTTGTGTGGATATATGCAAGATATGTGTGTGTGTGTGTATTCTTGTGTGTATGTCTCTCTCTGTGTGTGTGTTTATACATATATAATGTTTTTACATGTACAGTATATCGAATACTTCACACTCTCTTGGCCCACAGCACCTGCAGATGGGACAGCTTAAGGCCTCCTGCGGAGGGCTAAATCCGAAGGGGATTATAATAAAAAAAAATAAAAATAAAATTGAACTCACCCCCCCCCAATATACCCTCGTAAGGGGGAGGCATAATGGGGGCGAGTCCCAGGCCGCCCCAGCCTTCCTCCTGCCCCGGCCTACCTCACCGGGCTGTTGTGGGAGGGAGGCCGCCCCCCTCGGGCGTCCCTCCCCCTCAGGCCGCGGCAGGGCTGGGCAGGGCAGGGCCGGGCGTCGCTCGGGCGCAGGCCGCGGCCTCTTTCCCCGCCTCTTCCGAGAGCGGCCTGCCCGCCCGCCCGTCGCTCGCCCGCCAGGCCGGCTCGTCGCCCCCGCGCGGCCGGAGGCTCCCCGGGGCTGCCAGCTCTCGTCCGCCCCGCCGCTCCCCTCGCCCGGCTTCTCCCTCCCTGCCTCGCGACGCCGCTGCCGCCGCTTCCTCCCTTGGCCGGTGGGAGCGCGGCGCCGGGCGGAGGGCCGTCCCGCGGCCGGCGCAGCTCCATGGGGCCGGCGGCGCGGCGGCGGCGGAGGGCGAAGGCGGCCGCCCAGACTCCTCGCCCCGCTCGCCGGCGGCGGCCGTGAGAGAGAGCGAACGAGCGCCGCCCGCTTCGGACCCGCCGACGGGCCTGCGGCTCCGGGCCGGACGGAGGATGGCGGCGACCCCGACCCAGCTGGAAGCCGGTGAGGAAGGGGGCTGGCTGGGGCCGGCCCGGGAGGGGGGTCCTGGGGGGGGTCTTCCCGGCCTGCTCTGACCGCAGCCTTTCTCCCTGCCTCGTCCGCAGAGCTCTATTACCTGATCGCCCGCTTCCTCCAGTCCGGACCCTGCAAGAAATCGGCCCAGGTGAGGAGGGGTCCGGAGGGGGGAGGAAAGGGGGGGCTGCCAGTTGGGGAGGGGGTCGGGGACGCCCCCTCCTCACCCTTTTGTCTCTCTCCCCCCCCTCCGCAGGTGCTGGTGGCCGAGCTGGAGGAGCACCAGGTAAGGGGAGGGGGGGGTTAAAAATGAAGGGAGGGAGGGTCCCCCACTGTGCCCCCTGCCCCTTTTTAAAGGAGAGGGGGCTGGGGGGGGTCATCCCGATGTGGGACTCCCCCTGGCCTAAAGCTAATAGGAGAGCCCCTTGGGAGCCACCCTGCTGCGGGACCCCTGAACTCAAGGTTTTATTCCTAGTGGGAAGGGTCCCCATCCACGGAAGGGTCTCTCCTTTCTCTCTTTTTTTTTTTTCTTTTCACTTTCTCCCTTTATAAAATGTTTGTGCCTCTCTCTTTCTCTCCATATATACAAGATGCACGCATACAAACAGGCACACATGCGTGAGTTTGATAGCTAGACAACTCAAAGCGGGTTTTCCAAGGTTTTTGCCGGATGGGCTTCATCCAAAGCATTGGACCTATTCCGTTTTCTGGATTTTTTTTTTCTAGATTTTCTGGACCGAGACCCTGCTCATTTCTACTGTGGGATTGTGGGGGGGGGCAGCAAGGGGATAGAGGGAAGAAAACACCCCTTTTTTCTTTTCTTTTAATCCAGAGTTGGTTGGTTGGAACAGCCTTTGTGTTGGTCCTCGCAGGGGTTGACAAGGGACTAGCTCCATGTGAATAGAAGACCACATTTGCTTGACACAGGAAGTGCAAATTCAGCCTTTGGGGAGGGTGTGTGTGTGTGTGTGTGTGTGTGTGTGTGTGTGTCCAGAAATGGTTCCTAGATGTCTGCTTTGAATAGGGAGTACCCCATTCAGAAGTCAGGCGCAGGTGCTCCTGGGGAGACATTCCCATTTCTGAACTAAGCCAAAATGTGGTTTGGTTTTGATGGTGTGGCGTAGGACCCTTCCTTTGTGAGCTGCAGTTCCTAGCTTGGCATGTTGCAGCTTATGGACTAAATCATAGTTTAAGAAAGCGCAGCTGCATTCAATGGGTAAGTGCAACTTCCTTGCATATCATGGATTAGCAAAAAGCTTAATGGGGAGGGGGCAGCGAGTTGTTTGACCTTCCACTTCACCCAGTATTTCAAGGTGAGCCAACTGTTTCCCCTCTTCTTTGCTAGTTGATCCCGAGGCGCTTGGATTGGCAAGGAAAGGAACACCGAAGAAGTTTTGAGGATCTGGTGAGTGAATATTGCCTTTTAAATTTCAGCTTTTGTTTTAATCATGGGGGCTGGCTTGGGGTGGGGAGAAGCCTCTTTGGGTTTTGTTTTGTTTTTTCCCCCACAGCTGCAGTAGAAAACCTGGAAAAAAGGAAAAGTGTGGATGTTAGGAGTCACTTGTTGGCTGGTTTGTGGATTTTTTTCTGTGTGATTTTTTTTTTCTCCGAAGAAAATCTACCATCGAGAAAGCAGGGAGGGTTATTTAAGGGCACGTAAAAGAAGTTTCATCCCAGACCAATAGTGCTGCGTCTATTAGATAGGACTTCCTTGTGGGTGATGAGAGGTGCCAGCTGATTGGTTGTACCTTTCAATACAGGAAGCAAGGGAAGGAGGTGTTTTTTTCCTCCTTCATCTTTCTACATTAGTAAGAAAATACGTTATCCCTTTTCTCCTGTCCTGTTAGAAAGAAAAAACTATTGAGAGTCGATGACATTTACTCCATTTAGTATGTTTAGGGCCCAGATGACAAAATGTAAATGAATTTTTAAACATAACAATTATATTTTGCTTGCGGAGGTGAAGAACATGTATATAATTTTAAATGAAGAAAATTCCTATATTTCTTTGTGAAATAAAAGAGCTGTTACCCCAATTTGTACAAAACAGTAATAGCAAAACAATAAATGCCTTGATAGGAAGTTTTCGCAGAACTTGTTCGTTATAGCTCTTTATTCTGATAAAAGAATAATGCAGAAATGGGAGTTCAGAGGCAGCTATTCTCTGAACGTAGATCACTAATGCATTGGTGCAAATTAATTTTGCTAGATGCAAAGTATATGGGATTACCTTTTCAAGGTGAAAATCAGTTGCACAGTACCATATTTGATACAACATAATCAGCATACCGAAGTTGTTTATGCTTGCATGTTATGGTTACTTCAGTTCAAATATACCTTCTATTGTAGCTTTTTGATAGTGTGTGTGTCTTCCAAGTCAGTGTTGATACTTAGAAATTTCCTAGACAAGTCCCTGAATTTTTCTTGGTAAGGTTTTTCAGAAATGGTTTCCCAAGGCTGAGAGACAGGGACTAGCCCAAGGTGATCCAGCTGGCTTTGGGCTTTAAAGCAGGACTAGAACTCACGGTCTCCCAATTTCTAGCCTGGCACCTTAAATGCTACACAATACTGACCTTCCTTTTTTTTTTTTGTAGTCTGAATGGTTATTTCAGTATATCAGGTACTTTTATATAAATTGGGAACACCTGAGAGTAGGAGAAAGTAGTAGCAAACTTTTCTAAATACTATTGGCACATTGTCTGTCTACGTTGATTGTTTAGAACACTTGTAAGGAACTAGTTCAAAAAACAGAATTTTTGTATTTTGAGTGCAGACATTTATATGTTCAGATCAACAGTAAACTAACATACTAAAGATCCTCCTGAGGAATGTTTGTGAGCTGGATTAGAGATTTTGCAATTTTAAGTGTTGATTTTCCTTAGAAAAATATTTACATTTATACTCTTTAACTTTCAGTTTTATTGTCATAGGCTAGAAGATATGCCTTCTATGAAATAATTTCCTTTATCTCAAAGAGTAAATACAGTGGAGAGCAGAGTGAAATTACTTAGTCATTCAGAATAATCCCAGTTTTACCCTGTAACTCATAATTTCTTAGAAAACCAATATCAATTTGCTTTTTTTTTTGAGTTTTGGGACGTTTCCAGCATGTTTATGGCAGTTTTCTTTTGACATTACAGCTATTTAAATAGGGGAAAAGTTGGAATAATAATGGATACAGTTCCTAAGAAATAATCTGTGTGAATAGGAAGATGGAACCTTATTTAAAACTTGATTTGTTTAATTGTAATGGACACTCCTTTCCTCTTTACCCTGTCTGTTTTAATATGTCAAACCAGTATTAAATAATTGAAATAAGCTAACAAGATAAAGGTAAGATTTGTGAAAATGCATAAAGAATTGCAGGTCTTTTCCTCATACTGAGAACTGCTTATCCTCTTTATTCTTGTTTTAATCAGCTAAGACTGAAATGATTTTGAATACATCTTAGATGAATTATAGCTTTTAGGACTGTAGCCCTTGATACATGTTGCTATGAGGGAGTCCCACTAAGCACAGGAAACTACTTGGAAAAGTACATAGTGTTATTCTTCAGTGTAACTTCTCATGATTCCTTTGTGTCTGTTTCTTTTCCTGGCTTGTATTAACATTCCCAAAGTCCACATCACTGGCATGCTAGCTGTTGGAAATGGGAGTTAAAATGTCACCCCCAATTCCATCCACACTTCCATTTTATAATCTAAAAAACCTTGACAAACAGAGTAACTTTTGAGTCTGAACAAGTTGAACACCAAAAAGCAGATCCAATTCGCTGTACATGCCTGCCTGCTTCCCAGCTTAGTTAAATTAGGAATAAAACTGCCATAAAGCAATGATGGGGCATTGCTTATGAAAATTAAGAACTATTTGATGCTGGCAGACAGGTGTTAATGGAGGGACATTAAGATAGTTGAAGAGTTGGAGGTGGCAAAGTATCTTTTGCTAAAGGCAGGGGGTTAACAAAACAAGAAAGCCCCTTTGTGTTGTAAAAACAGCAGCAACCACAAAGAAGGAGACGGACATTTTCACACCTCTTAGGAACAGTGTCCTTTATTATTCAGCTGGTGACCAGAGTATATAGCACAGTGCCTTCTCAGGCCGTCTACATTTTCATAAGCAATGCCCCATCATTGCTTTATGGCAGTTTTATTCCTAATGTAACTGAGCTGGGAAGCAGGCAGGCATGTACAGTGAATTGGATTTGCTTTTGGGTGTTGAACTTGTTCGGGCTCAAAAGTTACTCTGTTTGTCAAGGTTTTTTAGATTATAAAATGGAAGTGGGGGTGACATTTTAGCTCTCATTTGCAACAGCTAGCATGCCAGTGATGTGGACTTTGGGAATGTTAATACAAGCCAGGAAAAGAAACACACATGTCCCTTAAAGACAAACTCGACCAGACAAAAGGAAGCCCTTTACCTTTGTGTACCATTACACTGCTTAACTGGTGGAGCAGTTTGTTTCCTTTTATTTACATCTGCCTTTTCTCACAGTAGTGTCTGTAGCACCTCCTCCTATAAATTTTCCAGAAGACCCACCTTTGTGTGAAAGGTCCAGTTGAGAGAAAGGGACCGGCTCAAGTCTGCATGATGA